GTAGAAATGCGCAGATAAAACACTCAGTAATTACACAGGCCTATAATACTTCCTTGGCGTAGAAAACATTTCATTGTTGGGCTGGGAATGTGGCTTAGTGTTAGAGTGTTTGTCTAGCATGCATGAAGCCCTGGGTTCGAGTCCACAGTACCACATAAAAAAAGGAAGTGGCGCTGTGGTAGAGTGCTAGCCTTGAGCACAGAGAGGCTCAGGGACAGTGCCCAGGCCCTGTGTTCAAGCTCCAGGACTGACCAACAAGAAAAGAAGAAAAAGAAAACATTTCACTGTGAAAACTGAAAATATTTCACTGTGAAAACTTCACAGCCCCTTTCTTAGAGGAAAAAACAATATTGACTCAGATTACAGACTGAAGTGATTCACGGTGTCAGCCCAGCCTGAGGACGGGACACATGCGCAGACAGCCTGTCCCAGAACAAGAGGCCAGGCTCAGAACACAGCTGGCATACATGGTCCTCTTCCCGGTGACAGCCACTGAGTTTGTGTTGCCAGTCAGTGTGGATGAGTCACATGATCACACACCAATTCCTATGCGTCATGTGTACTCTGGGTGCTGAAGCCTAAGACATTTATACTCTGTGCCAGTGTCTGTAAGTTACATGAGTGCAGGGTGACAGTGCTTGGAAATCATGTGTCCTGATGTCTGTACGTCACATGTACACTGAGTACTGATGTCTCTTCAGTTACATGTGTGCTGATGCCACTGTCTGCAAGTCACATGTACACTGCTGTCCTTTTTACTGGGGTCCACAGTGCTATGGGTTCTTGGAGGGGAAGTGGAGGAGACTGCTCTCAGTGGTGCTTGGGTTCACCTAGAAAGGAGTCACACCACGCGAACACAGGATGCTGCCAGACCACAGAGCAAAGTACAGAGCAAAGTGAAGTGGGGAAATTCATTTTTTCCCTAATTTTTTATTGTGATTAAGTGGTTACATAATTTCCCAAATTTCACAGTATTGTGGGATAGTGATGCTCAGTTAAAGTCATGAACACATTCTAACTTTCCTGGAGCAAATTGTCTATCACGGTCTATAACATTTATGAGTTCTATGAGCTTTGCAGTAAGTTATTTCTTCCACATTGGGTGGCATGTACATTTCTTTGTTTTGCATAGCGTCAGCTGTTCCCTCTTTCCCACTTGTTCCCTCCCTCCCATCGCTGCCATTGAGTTGCTTAGTTCATTTTGGTCAGTGACCAGTGCAGCTGATGGGTCCTGCTGTTGTATGCTTTTCCCTGATTCCCTCTAGTTGTATGCTTTTCCCTGATTCCCTCTAGTTCTGTGTCATCTTCCTGGTTCCCCTCCGGTGTACACATATATATCATACATGTGATCAGCAGCATGGGGTTATTTAGTAGTGATTCGACCAGATGAGTAGAAGTCCTTTGTTTCTTAAGTCCTGTTAATTTTGTCATATCACCTAGTATTTTGGATTTAACATCCACTTATCAGGGAGACCATGTACCGTTTGTCTCTTTGCATTTGGTTTACCTTGCTCAACATGATTTCTTCTAGCTCCATCCATTTTCCTGCAAATGCCATTATTTTGTCCTTTCTAATGGCTGCATAATATTCCATTGTGTATAGATACCACAATTTTTTTTTTTTTTTGTCAGTCGTGGGGCTTGAACTCTGGGCCTGGGCACTGTCCCTCAGCTCTTCAGCTCAAGGCTAGCGTTCTACCACTTGAGCTACAGCGCCACTTCCGGTTTTCTGGTGGTTTATTGGAGATAGGAGTCTCACAGTCTTTCCTGCCTGGGCTGGCTTTGAACCGTGATCCTCAGATCTCAGCCTCCTGAGTAGCTAGTATTACAGGCGTGAGCCACCAGCGCCCAGCTATATACCACAATTTTTGGATCCATTCATCTGTGGTGGGATATCTGGGTTGTTTCCATATCCTGGCTATTGTGAACAGTGTTGCAATAAACATGGAGGTGCATGTGTCCTTGTATACTGCTTTCCGAAGTGGTTGTATAAGTGTACATTCCCACCAGCAGTAGAATATGGTTCTTTCTCCGCATCCCCTCCAGCATTTGTCGTTTGACTTTAGGCCGTGGGCCTAAAGTCTGACTGGGGTAAGGTGGTATCTCAGGGTTGTCTTTATTTGCATTTCCTTCACAACCAGGGATGGTAAACATTTCCTCATGTGTTTCTTTGCCATTTTTTATCTCTTCTTTTAAGAAGTCCCTTTAGTTCCCTTGTCCATTTAGTAATTGGATTGTTAGGTTTGGGAGGGATTAGTTTCTTGAGTTCCTTGTATATACTGGATATTAACCCCTTGTCTGATATATTGCTGGTTAATATTTTTTCCCAGTTGGTTGTCTTTCTAGCTTGGTTGCTATAGCTTTAGCTGTGCAGAAACTTTTTATTTTAAGGTAGTCCCATTTGTTGAGTCTCTCTCCAATTTGTTGTAACCCTGGGAGGGGGGACCAAGATGGCGACGGGACAGTAGGGAAATGCCACAGCTTTCTCCAACCAAAAAGAGAGTTCGTATTCCAACACTCAATTTCCCAAGAGACTGACAACAACAAAATGATGAACACCCTGAGGGGCTGGGAATGTGGCTCAGTGGTAGAGTGCTTGCCTCCCATGCATGAGGCCATGGGTTCAATTCCTCAGCACCACATACACAGAAAAAGCCAGAAGTGGTGCTGTGGCTCAAGTGGTAGAACGCTAGCCTTGAGCTGAAGAGCTGAGAGACAGCACCCAGGCCCAGAGTTCAGACCCATGACCAAAGAAAAAAAAAGATGAATACCCCGAAAAAAACAGGAGGTGGGAAAAAAAAAAAAAGAAAAGGAAAAATTTCAGAACAGAGAAGCACAAAGACCCCTCCCCCAACCTTTACTGGCTGCGCAGTGATGCCCCAAGCCCCGGCCGGCCCGGCCCGGCAGGGGCTTCCGAGTCCCCAGAGACACGGGGTTGTCTGCAGCTCACCCACGCAGAAGACGCCTGAGTTACCAGTGTTGGACCCGCTGATCACAACAAACAGAGAAACCTCCAAGCCGGGAGCCTGCACAGATCCCACCCCTGCCCCTCACTCTCCGAGCAGACATCAGGAGGTCAAAATCATTGTGCCACCAGAGCCCAGGACATGCCTTTGTCCCCTTCCCCTCTTGGTGGCCTGAGGACAGAGGGGCTGAGGAAGGCATGCACGCAGCGTGGCCGCTGTCTGCATTGGTGGGCCACATTAATGGGTCACTGTCACTGCTGCTAGTTAGTCCACTGAGCAGGCACCTGTGGGACCCAGGCCCCCCCGTGCCCCACTTTACAGAGGCCTCACTGCAGCCTGGAGGGGCACACCCAGACTCGGCCGTCCCAACCTGGCGCCAGTACCCGTACACGTGTAAGACTTGGCTCCATCTCAGTTGACTTTGATATTCTGTCTAATATGTCTTAGGTTACTCTATTGAATCCTTTTTTTTTTTTTTTTGTCAGTGGTGGGCCTGGGCGCTATCCCTCAGCTCAAGGCTAGCGCTCTACCCCTTGAGCCACAGCACCACTTCCAGCTTTTTCTGTGTATGTGGTGCTGAAGAATCGAACCCGGGGACTCATGTGTGCAAGTCAAGCGCTCTACCGCTGAGCCACCTTCCCAGCCATTGAATTCTTTTCATGAGTTTCTCATGGTAGCCTGTCGGTTTCTCTTGTGGTGCTAATAATTCCTTGCTAAGCAAGTTGTCTGCCACTGAGCTACCCCTCCCTGCCCCCAAGTGCTCATTCCCTTCTCATCTACAATTTCTGAGTTTAGTGGTGATTCAGGAACTCTTGGCCATTCTGAAAAGAAATCACGTTTATGCATTTGAACCTTGCTGGTATTATTAAGAGTGGGGAATTCTCACACATGTGTGGCACATACTATGTGTCACCCAAACTGGTCACAGCCTGCCTCCTGTGGAGCAGGTGGAGCTGTACCAGTCACATCAGGTGCTAGAGTCTGGCTGTGGCCCAGGGCAGAGGTAGTAAGTCCCTCCGTGGGCAGTGCAGCTGACCACAGTGCTTGTGTCTTCCAGTCTCCAGGCTGGAGGAGCGGGAGTCAGAGATGAAGAAGGAGTACAATGCCCTGCACCAGCGGCACACAGAGGTAGGCGCCATGGCATCTGCCCCAGGGTTCAAGGGAGTGAGTGTTGATGCAGCCTAACGTCTGCCATTTGCCAGTGGAGCACCTCTGGTGTCGCCTTTGTCTGGTTAAATCCATTCCTCTGAACTTGGCTATTTCCATCTGAGCACAGTGTGGACTATAACACTGGGGCCCGGCAGGCAGCACTAATGACAGACCCCTCTTGACAGATGATTCAGACCTACGTGGAGCACATCGAGAGATCCAAGATGCAGCAGGTTGGGGGCAGTGGCCAGACAGAAAGCAGCCTGCCAGGGCGGAGGTAGGTCACTAAGGGCGCAGTTCTGGCCAGAGGAGGGTGTGGCAGGGGGTCAAGTCTGTCTCTCAGGCTCACTGTCATTGCTCACTGCTTGTAGATTCCATGTCTACAAATTTGCCACTCACTAAAATGCATGGGAAACCTCAGACTCATACTTACTGCACTGTCTCAAATCATGCTTTGAGAAAACATGCAGGCTCTTGATCAAACCAAATTGGGCAGTGTTCAGCCTAATGAGCTGGCTGAGAAGCCCAGGTCCAGAATGTGTTAGCTGGGGCTACTCTGTCACCAGAGGCTTCTCAGCCTGATACTAGGGTCTGTGAGAGGTCCTTCAGCATTTCCTCAGAGCAGTAGTTCAGTGTGCACGAGTTTGTGTTGGAGGAAACTAGACCACATTCCCACTGACTGTCTTGATAGGAGGAGGCCAGGCCAGCTTGCGGGCAAGACTGTCTCCTTCCCTCTGTGGGGCAGGACAGTGCCAGAAGATCGCAGCCCTCTGCCTGGCCCAGGCCCCAGCTCAGGTGCTGGTCTCACTCTGGCAGCAGGACGAAGCTGCCAAAGCCCAGCTCCTTCCCCACTTCCTGTGGCTTTGAACTCAGGGCCTAGGCACTGTCCTTGAGCTTCTTTTGCTCAAAGTTCGCAGTCTACCATTTGAGCCACAGCTCTACTTCCGGCTTTTTCTGTGTATGTGGTGCTGAGAAATCAAACCCAGGGCTTCATGCCTGCTAGGCAAGCGCTCTGCCACCAGCCACACTCCCGGCCCCTCCTTCCCCACTCTTCGTACCACTTGAATCAGGACAGAGCTGTACCACCAGCTTCTGGAAACAGTGTCAAAGGTCATGTCCAGGAGGTTAGGGTCTGGACACGTCTCTGGAATGACCTCATTGGGAGCTCTAGCTCAGGCACAGAATTCACAGGCACTAGCAGGAGCCTATGTGCGTCTGTGTGCTCCATCACCCCCCCCCCCAGCCGAAGTCCTCACGTGTCCCTAGTGCTTCTGTGACTGGACACATGTCCACTGTCCTGCTACACAGTCCCTGTCTGGAGGTCTCTTGTCAAAGCCAAGGTTTGTGCATCGCATGTCTGCCCCTGCAGACATCTGTGTGTAACTATAGTTGTGTAGCGGGGTGTGTAAGACGGGCCCCAGTCTCACCGTCACTGTCTGTGCGCTTTCCCTCACCTTCTGTCTCTAATGTGATCTCCTTGTCCTGCGCTCTGTGCTGTCGCGGCTGTGTGCTGGCCATTGTGTCTGTCGCTGCCTTCAGTCCTCGCCAGTCATGGAGGAAAAGGTAAAGCCTGAAGGTTGTTGTCTGCCATGGGCTGGGGTCCACTGGGAACTTGAGACAGTCTCAGGAGGGCCAGAATAGCTTTTGGTTTTCATCACAAGCACGTTTCTTGATTAGCATAGACATATTTTCTATACCCCGAACAGCGGATCAAAAGTGCTTGCAAATGCCTTCATAAGCCAGGCGCCAGTGGTTCACTCCTGTAAGCTAGCTCCTCAGGAGTCTGAGATCTTAGGATCACGGTTCAAAGCCAGCCCGGACAGGAAAGCCGTGAGACTCTTACCTCCAATTAACCACCAGAAAACCGGAAGTGGTGCTGTGGCTCACGTGGTAGAGCACTAGCCTTGAGCTGAAGAGCTCAAGGACAGCACCCAGGCCCGGAGTTCAGGCCCAGTCCAAGCCCCATAACCGCAAAAAAAAAAATCCTTCACAGGACTGGTCTGATGGTCCCTTTTCACACACCAAATCACAACATTGACTTCCACCAGTGAGGAGCATGTAGCCAAGCATTGCCTGGCACTGACTGGAGCCAGTGGGCAGGTGGAGATATCATGTCCCCTCCACTCTCAGGTGGTTCTAGACCTATGGCCCAGTACGATCACTTAGCAGCTCTGTATCCCAAGTAGGCTTGATTGGCACTTGTGGGCAGCATCGTCCCAGGGGTGATAGTCTGGAGAAGATGGCCGTTTGCCCACCCCTGGGGCCATGAGGATACAATAAGTGGATAAGAAGGCTGGCCTTTGCGTGAGCCCCATCAGTCAGCAACACCTCCACAGAGATGTTCACCTGGCTCAGCAGCCAGGTCCACATGAGATTCTGTAGGGAAGAGCAAGGGCAGATACCCTGCTCGTGATTACAGATAAACTTCCAGTAGACACAGCAGCTGGCCGAGCGTGGAACATGTCTGCTGTCCACACTGGAATTGAGTGGTCTGTTGTCTGTTCGTCGCCCTTCTTGTGAGGCAGGAGTCCCTTCCCCCACTCTCATCCTCGTGGCATCTCATAACAGCTGGGATGGCCCTGCTTTGGGACCTGTATTCTTCCCAGGATCATGAGTAGAAGTCCTTAATGGGGTCAGGACTGGTCCCCAGGGTATTTTCCAGACCAGAATCGGGAACTCAAGGATGCAAAGTCTGGGCAAGGGGGCTGCAAGTCTGGTGGCAGATAGGGGTGTGGCCTTCCCCAGCCTGAGCTGTGTAGCATTTCAGTGGCCCAGAGACCCTGCCGAATATGGTCAGTTGCTCAGTGCAGCTGAGCCACAGAGGTTCTGGTACCTGGGCAGAACAGAGCCGTCCATCTGTGATGCGGGTTTCAGGACCCGCGTTTAGGCCTTGCCCAGTAACCAGTACAGGCCTGTCCTCTGCAAAGGGTCCTTGGAGCGCAACTGCCTCCTGTCCTGTTTCAGCGCTATGCCTTCCACAGCTCCAGACTGGAGGGGAAGCAAAGGAGCTGGGGGCAGGACTGCGCCCTGTACCCAAGAGGCAAAGGCAGAGCTCACAGCCACTGTGACAGGGAGGCAGATCTTGGCTTTGTCTTGGCAAAAGTCACCACTCAAAGCAAACAGTTACTGCCTGCCTGGCTCCAGAAAACACTACAGGTGCTCTGTGGGGCTGCTAGTGCTGGCATTGTTGGTGTGTTTTGTTTTGTTGTTTTTTTTTTGGTCGGTTGTGGGGCCTGAGTGCTGTCCCTCAGCTCTTCAGCTCAAGGCTTTTTCTGCCTATGTGGTGATGAAGAATCAAACCCAGGGCCTCATGCATACACGGCAAGCCCTCTACCACTGAGCCACCTTCCCCGCTGTTGGTGTCTTTTTAAAGGTGAACTAAATGAAATAGGAAATCACAACATGACAGAAGAGGAAAGGTTACATGGGGTCATAAGTGGAGATGCCCCCAAAGATATAGACACGGCCGCATGGCCATTACCTTCCCAAGCAGCACACCCCACCGTGTGCATGTGTTAAGACAGATTCCTGTTCCCTTATGTGCCTCCAGCTAACCATCTGCTTTCTCTTCTTCTCCCTCCCACTCCAGCAGGAAGGAGCGCCCCACCTCTCTGAACGTCTTCCCCCTGGCTGATGGCATGGTACGTGCACAGATGGGGGGCAAGCCCGTGCCTGCGGGGGACCACTGGCACCTGAGTGACCTCGGCCAGCTTCAGCCCGGCTCCAGCTACCAGGTTTTGTAGCCGTGCGTGGAGTGAGGGCCCCTGCTGCTGGCGTCCCACATCCATCTCGGGGACACAACTCTGTGCATCTCTCCCTGAGTTAGTCCACCCTCCGCTGCTGTGAGTCAGGGATAGAGACACCAAGCCAGGTGTCGGGAGGTGTGGGGTCTCAGATGGACCCTTTGCTGTCACAGCTACTCTTTGTGGCCTTGTCCTGGTACCTGTTAACCCAGGCGATGACTCTCTGCCTCTCAGACCATTCTGCTATCTGATACCTATATGAGGGCTGAGCGTAGCAATGCTGTGCTAAGCTCACTCCCAAACACATGCCTTCTGTCACACCGTTAGGATACCTGTTGCTTCTGCTCTCATGAGCCTTTAGAAACTAGAGTCCGAGGTCTGATTTCTGCTAGGAGGGGACAAGCTCCCTCGTAGCCCCTTCTCCACATGTCCCTGGTAACTCTACTTACTACAGGTTGAGAAACAGGAGCTCCCCGCTCCCCCACCCCAGGTGTGCACAGCCTACCAGTGAGTGTACTTTAAATGTGGCACCCAGAGAAGGCCAGGTCACATTCAGGGCCCCAGATGCCTTGCCATAATTGGGGTGTATGTCTCAGACTATCTGAAAGACAGCAGACAGGGTCATGGCTACGCTGCCAGGTAAGACCTGCCTTCCTTGGGTAGAAGAAGAGATCTTGGCTCCAGGGGATTCAGGGAGGCATTGGGGGACACCTACAGAGTCAACAAGGCCCCAGGGCTCCGGCTGGGGGGGGCGGGCGGGTGAGGGTCCAAGGCTTTGGAAATCTCCCTGCTGCTCCTTTGGCCGACTGTCCTTCCACCTGTGTCCAGCTTGCCTTCGAGGGCTGTTGCATGCTGCCAGCTCTGTCAGAAGGTGACACCGCTGCTTCCGCTCTTGTTCCTGGGGGGAGCCTGTCTCTGAGACACAGAGATGCCTGTCTGCTTTTCACTGTTCTGCTGTTGGTGGTGCCCTGGGAAGAGGGCAGCAAGGCCTATGGGCCAGCCAGTTATGCCAGCTGCCCTCGCCCACCTGTACCTGCTCACACCAGGCCTGTGGTAGGGCTGCCCTGTACGCATCTGTAGAACCACAGGAGCCTCTGAAAGCCAGATGGAGCCCACCTGCGCTGTCCTGCTCCGGGCACCTGCTCGTGTCCGTGTCTGGAGCAGCTTTCCTGGCCACACTGTCTTCTTTCCCTACCACCTTGTCTGGAATAGTCTTGCCATAAATTGTAGTGTTTCATGTTTTAGTTCATTGTATGTTTTGTTTGGTTTATCTTGTTTTTAAAAGGTAATTACATTTATGTTCTTTTAATTTCATGTTCCAGATTTTAAGGTTTTTCTAATTTCTTAATTTTTTGTTTTGTTTTTTTTGTTTTGTTTTGTTTTTTTTATGTACTGTAGTGTTTTAACCAAACAGTTGTGGCTACTCATGGTGAGGAAAGACCGCTAAGAGTGTGGGGTCTTTGCAATACATTGGAGGTCACTGCTCCCGTTGATGTTAGGAGGTTGAGAGGTTTGCCTTAGGTAAGTGTCAGCCAGGGGGAGTGTCCCCTGGGTAAGTGGCGGTCCTGTAGGATAACAGAGCTGGGGCTCTGGGGGCAGCCTGGCCAGAGGGCAGGAGCCCCACTGTGACCAACAGGGTGCCTGCAGTCAGGGGAACACAGCCATCAAGGAAGGTGGTCTGGAAATGTGTTTGGCTCATGCCCCTGGCTTTAGCCCAGCCTGAGTGGAGTCCCTAGTTTGCCCTTGCTGGGTGGTAGCCGAGGCCTGCATCTGGTGGGCATCTGGTGCCCTGATGTGGGGCAGGTGCAAGTTCTTAGCGAGCTGCACCTGACGGACCTGTGTGAGCCAGCTTCGCCTTCTTTACCACTCCTTCTTGTGGTGGGCATGAAATGTAGCCTGCATCTAGCTCAGACCAAAAATGCAGACATGAAGCTGCTCCTACACCAGAGGGGCCAGGCTCACCTGAGCTGCTTCCCTGGGCACTGCTGGTGTGTGGGCACGGTGGAGCAGCATCCCTGACCTCTACCAGTTCTGTGTGGTGACAACAAAGCTGTCCCTGCATCTCAGTCACCCCCTTGAGAGGCTGTTGTAGAAGGTATGTGGCACTTTGAGATTTCTTATGTAGAGACTCAGGAAGCTGGTGGATGTCTTGCCCTGAGGGGCCCCTGAGCCCGCAGAGAGTGAGGCCACCACAGTTGTACAACTGCCCCCTAGTGCACTTCTCAGTTCAAGCCCCGCCCTCACCCCGCTCTGGACAGGGAGGACCATACACCTTCCTCTCCACTCCCCGACCCTCCTTTGGGGACCCCGAAACCAGTACAGGGAGCCTCCTTGGTTTCCCCAGCTGTTCTCTGCCGTAAGGGAGCACAGAGAAGAGACCAAGGGGACACAAAGGCCATCTTCTGCCTGGGCGTCCCAGATGACCAGGACAATACTCAGGGTCATGTGGTCCTCCATATGTCTTAAGTAAGTATAAGGAGTGTTTAGGGGCAATTTTTGTTGATATTGTCCAGATTTATTTATTTTTATTTTATTTATTTTATTTTTTATTTATTGTCAATCATGGGGCTTGAACTCTGGGCCTGGGCGCTGTCCCTGAGCTCTTCGGCTCTATCACTTGAGCCACAGCACCACTAGACTTTCCTGCCCCGGCTGGCTTTGAACCATAATCCTCATAGGATTACAGGCACCCAGCTTGTCCAAAATTTTTAACAGGAAATACCATAAGAAAACAATGTGTTTCATGTTCCATACCCTCAAATAGACACTTTTTTTTTTTTTTCCCCAGTCCTAGGGCTTGAACTCAGGGCCTGGGCTCTGTCCCTAAGCCTCTCTGTGGTCAAGGCTAGCACTCTACCCCATAAGCCATAGTACCACTTCTGGCTTTTTCTGTTTATGTGGTACTGAGGAATTGAACCCAGGGCTTCATGCATGCTAGGCAAGCGCTCTACCACTGAGCCACATTCCCAGCCCCTAAAGAGATTCTTTAGCACTAACTACAGTGTATAAAAAACTGAGCTGAGAATTCTCCCTCACACCTTTGGTAGTGTCCTATTTTGTCAAAATGGACTTTGAGGCCATTTGAATTTATATTGATGTTAGGGCCAGTTCAGCCATGGAGAGAAGCATCACACACATCCGTTAGGCAGCCACAGGTGTGAGACGCTGTAGCTGCGTCCCGCCATTGCCTTCAGCCACAGCTGGGTAGGCAGTTCCTAGAGAACACGGGGAAGAAGGGTGGGACCACCCCCGCATGCCGCATAGCCCACCTGCCCTGCCGGCTGCCTCCTAGCTGAAGGTCCCAGGTGAGGCATTTGCCCCGGGTGCAACTGGTTTCTGTCCGGCCACTGACTGTGAACTCACCCACTGTGTCCTCCGTGTCCTCTGTCACATCATTCCTATCCCTCACAGCTTCCCTGTGGAAGACGCAAACAGGAAGCCAGGTGGTGGCTGCTTCTGGGAGTCTTGAAGCAGCTGCCATTTGAGCAGAACAACTCAGAAGTGACTGGGCCAAGACAAGGAGCTGCCACGGGGCAGAGGGAGCTCATTCCCCCGCGAGCCTGTGGCCACAGAGTTACAAGCAGCCTCCTGTGGCCTGTGCTGCCGTGCCCGGCCTCCCCCTCCCTGTGTCTGGCCCTAGGGTCCAAACGATGAGATGTCTGAGTCCGGACAGTCCTCAGCCGCTGCCACACCCAGCACCACAGGCACCAAGTCCAACACGCCCACGTCCTCCGTACCCTCTGCTGCAGTCACACCGCTCAACGAGAGCCTGCAGCCGCTGGGGGAGTTCGGCGGTGGCACAAAGAACAACAAGCGGGCGCGGGAGAAGCGCAACAGCCGCAACATGGAGGTCCAGGTCACCCAGGAGATGCGCAATGTCAGCATAGGTATGCAGCCGGCCCGCCGCCTGCCTGCCTCGCCCAGGCCCAGGGAGCTGTCTTCCCCATGGGATTTTAGTTTGAACAGTTAGAACCGTGAGCCCACACTTCCACAACAAAGACCACAGGTGAGGTGGCTTTGACAGCGGAACTTTGTCTTCTCATCCCATGTGATGTGTGGGCATGGCCGGCTCCTCAGCCCCCTTACGAGGCCTGCTGGTGACTGCCTCTTTCTGCATCCTCACGGGGCCCAACCGTGTGCCCCATGCCGGTTGGATTAGTACCTGCCAGTTACCTCTTGTGGAGACTCATACTGCACATTCAGTCCTCCTGTAATAAGAGAAAAAAGAACGTAGGAATATTTGGTTTCCTCAGATACAACCACAAGGTGATGATCTGCTGGGTCCTGGTCTCGGGTTCTGGGCCCTCTGTGCACAGTGCTAGGGTCTCCAGACACCTGTCCAGAGGAGCTCTGTGAGCAGGGCCAGGGTTGGCAGGCTGTCCTCTGACCCCAGCTTCTCTGTACTCCACCAGGCATGGGCAGCAGTGACGAGTGGTCTGATGTTCAGGACATTATTGACTCCACCCCAGAGCTGGATATGTGTCCTGAGACCCGCCTGGACCGCACAGGAAGCAGGTACTTCCTCAGGCGGGCCCTGGGCTGGGGCTGCTTGTCCTCTGAGTTGGTCCCTTTGGTGAGCTGCTGCCTCACGCTCATGCCTGTTCCTGCAGAGTGGGGGGTGGTCAGCTGTCTGTCAGCTGTGACAGTATCGCTGGGGTAATGCAGGTTGAAGTGGGCTCAGTGTCACAAGTTCAAAAGTCAGTTGTTGACCCTGAACCTTTGGCCTGTGGCAGCACAGCACATCACCCGGGGAAGCATATGGCAGAGGAGGTAGCTTACCTCCTGCAGGCCAGGAAATAAGAGGCTG